GATTTGATCTTCCTCCCAATGATTCCAGGTGGTTGTGATTATGATATTCCTCTGCCTGCTGGGGATCAGTTTATACGGGACCACTCAGGTTCGGGATGGCCTGGAGTTGACGGACATCGTGCCCAGGGAGACCAGCGAATATGACTTCATCGGCGCCCAGTTCAAGTTCTTCTCCTTCTACAACATGTACGTGGTGACCCAACGGGCCGACTACGCCCACATCCAGCCGCTGCTGCACCAGCTGCACCAGAGGTTCAGCAGCGTTCGCTACGTCCTGAAGGAGGACGACGGCCAGCTGCCCCTCATGTGGCTGCACTACTTCAGGGACTGGCTGCAAGGTAAAGTTCYACTCGATGTCTAACCCCTGCCGTGTATGAAGGGAAGCGGTTGGATCATGGGCAAGAACATAAATTAGATGTTGGGTTAAGATCCAGGCAGTTAACCAACCTTGATGTGTGAGACATTTTTTGTTTATGATCTATTGAGTGTCACAAGAACAGCTAAGGKGTGGGAGTAATTTACTTTCTTGTGAAAGAGTTTTCAGATCATAATTTTCCTGCGTTTGACACAGATCTACAGGAAACAAGCTGTTAGGCAGGAGTTCAGAAGTAGGAAGGATTGCAAAATGGACACCGACGGTGGCTGACTAAAATCACTTGTGTCTGTCATGAGTGGGCCTGGACTTTAGGCCGTGCACAGTGTTGTTAAAGTCTTCAGCAGCGAGTTGCAAGTGACGGTTCAACCGTTCCTGCTTTTCATTACTTTTAATGTGATTTCAGTCCTGAAAAATCACACAACAAGCACAGCACCATAAAAACTGTTCCATGTAGCCTTAAAATGAAAGATGTGGTGGCATTTTGCGAGAGTTRGTGTGTGAACTTGCTGGGAACCACACAGAGCGTGTGTATCTGTGGGTGGGGGGTGGGGGGGTGAAAAAAAAGGGAGAACTGTGTCTGATATTGCTCTGTGCAATGGTGGGACAAATTGGAGCCAGACAGGCCAAGGAAAGAGACCCAAAACAACATCTCCCACAGACGGACCACAGTGTCGGGGGAAAGAGTAGACAGGAGGGGAGTGAAATACACACATGGGATGAGGAGAAGTGGAGAACAGGGAGGCACATGTTATTGATATAGTCCCTTACGATCGCTTTGAATTAAAACCAGGCCGTTTTAGGCTTTTGAAGTCTTGCTTAGTGGTCGAGAATGGAGTTATATGAAATCAATGATGCTTATTATGGGGTTAGGGTTAAGTTGCAGTGTTGTGTCATGTTCTGTTTCACTGTGCTGGCTTATTACGTGTGCTTTCTCTCCTGCGAGCCGTGCTTCGCGATCGTCTCGCAGGGGGAGGAACGACGATAACAAAGCATGTAACCTTTTTAAAGCGTCCACATCTGTCTTGTCGCGGCTTCCTACAGGCCTCCAGCAGGCGTTCGACAAAGACTGGGAGGCTGGCCGCATCACCACCAACAGCTACAAGAATGCTTCTGATGATGGCGTCCTGGCGTACAAGCTTTTAGTGCAGACAGGACGCAGGGAGAAACCCATCAACTTCAACCAGGTTTGTTCAGGATTCTTAACYTACTCAAGACAACTTTTATTTCTGGCCCTCCTTCTTGCATATCTTGTATATTTTGTAACATTTTGCATGATTGGATCTAAAGGAGCCACACCCCATCGTAARGTTTCTATCCGTTCCTACTTTGATGGCTTTACTGTGCCCAGAAATTTAAAGCACTCATCAACGTTTTGTATTTAAAGGGCCAATATTATGTGTTTCTCAGGCATATATTAAAATACTATACCATAATAAAGTATCTATGTCACCTTTAGT